ATTGTTTATAGTCTGTGTATCATGTACGTGCAGTGCCTAAGGAGGACAGAAGAGGGCATAGGTTATAATTCCTGGGGGAATTATAGGTACAGTTATGAACTCCCATGTGGCTGCTGAGATTTGAACCCAGGATCTTCTGCAAGAGCAACAAGCACCTTAACCACTGACCCATTACCCCAGCCTGAAACCTGCTATTTTCTTTAACACACCACACCCACTTCCTAGGTCTACACCGGGGCTGGGACCTAGGACCTGATAGCTCTAGGACCTGCTCCTGGTCCTGCCTGTATGCTGCTGATACTGGCTGCTGTCAAATGATGAGGGGTGCAGAAGCTGCTCAAACCTTGCCCTGCAGGAGCCCCTTCTCGCCTACCTTCAGTTTCCTGGCATGGAGAGCAGAAGACCCCCACCTAGCTGACTGGGAACAGGAAGAGCTTTTCTGGGGTACCTACTACCCCCACTCCACCTGAGATCCAGAATAAACACAAAGAAGCATAGCTGTGGAGTTGCACTTGGCTTTGACCACTGACTCCTTCTGTCCTGGCTTCCCCTGAAGCTAGCCTTGGCAAGTGAGGGGAAGAAGCTGCCCAGTGGTACCCTAGGCATCTTCAAGGGAACCAACTCTATCCGGGAGTCAGAAGCTTTAACTTTTCTCCTTTTTTCTTTTTTTCTTCCTGAAAGATGGATATGAAGGTTAGGGCCATAGCAGCTACCCAAGTTCATGAGGAACCCTTGAAATGCATGCAGTTTCTGAGATGTAGAGGAGTCCCCAAAATTGCCTTCTGGATTTGCTACACATGAGGACAACCTCTACGTTATTTAAGGCACCATAGTTGAAGTTTTGTTGCCAGAAGTCAAACACGTTCCTAGGAGACACAAAGTCATTTTTAGAAGGTGTTTATGGTGAGTTATGTTTTCCAAAAAAACGACCACAACAGTATCTCCTACAGGATATTTACGAAATGTGTGCTTGATAATCCTCCTATTGAATGGTGGAGATTATATTCCTCGCCCTTGAACTTGGGTGGACCTCTCGAACTGTCTCCACTCGTGGAGAATGGTGGAAGTGGCGCTACGTGACTTCCAAGCCTGGGTCATAAAAAATGGCACGCACTTCCTCCCAGCTTTCTCTTGGGACAATCACTCTTGGCACCCAGCCACTGGCTGGGAGGAAGCCTAGACCAGCCTATTTGGAGACCACAGGGAGAGGCCATAGGTAAGTTTGCTGGCCACAGGCCCAGATGAGGCCCTAGACAGTAACTTCCATCTTCCACCAGATGTGTGAGAGAAGACACCTACAGGAGATTACAGCCCCTAGTCATCAAGGCACTACTGGTCTTTGAATCTTCTGGATCAGGGCCCAGATGTCGCCAAGCAGAGATGAGTTCCCCACCAACCCTTGAGAAAATCTCTGGAAAGCAAAATGACACAAGGATTTCACTGAGGGTGTGGGAGATGCCATGGGGCCTTCACGGAGGGTCTGTGAATGAGATGGCATCGGGGCGTCACTGAGGGTTCATGAGCACAGTAGCATGCTACCCCACACCACTGAGTCCTGAACATGCTTGCTCCCTGGTGACCCCTTGGCTGAGGCCCGAATGAAGAGAAGACACTGGCAACCAAGCCAGTGGAAGCTGTGAGCCAATGGAAAAGCAGACAGCGGCTGCAGGAGACCCCACACACCAGAGGGCAACCAGAGGGCACAGAGAAAAGCTGTGGTGCTAAAGGGTGAGTGGGCCAGACACCAGTTCTTCTGGGTCCCAGGACTGCTCCCTGGGGACCTGACAGTAGACACTCCCCATTTACTCCCCACTGGCAGTCTGGAGAACCTCTGTCCAGAGGCGGGACCCCTGGGAGGAGTTCTAAGCTTCTAATAGGAGAAAACTTGTTTTAAACGAGAAAACAAAACCAAAGGTGATCAGAGACCAGTGTTGTTTGAAACACCAGCTCACCATACAAGGAAAAGCACAAGCCCTCAAGAGTATTGTGGGGGCTTTGCAGCCTGCCCATCTTGGTTCTGGGTTCCCTCTCTGACCCTTGGTTTGGCCTCTGTGAAACAGCCACATTTTACCACACAGCTGATACATCGTTCAACCACACATCTCCAAGCTCCATGCACCTGCCCATGCCAGCCGCCCCACCTTCTGCACCTGGAGAGTCTCTCCTCCCAAGTCCACCTCCATGACACCTCTCCTATAAGCCATCCTGGGTTCCCATCATGTCCCTGTGATTCTGCATGAAACTACAGCTGTGTAAATTCTATTCAAGCTGAGTGATATAAGTATGCCTTCTCACCATCCCCATCCTCTATTTTCACAAAGAACGAGACTTGTCAGTCTGAGGAGATGGCTCATGGGTAATGTGCTCCCAGCACAGCCTGGAACCCATGTTAAAGCCAAGCAGCTGCCACAGTCACCTACAATCCCAGCACTTGAGAAGCAGAAAACAAGGGATCCCTGGGGCAAATCAGCTAGCAAGAATAGTCAGAATTAGTGAGCATTGGGTTCAGTGAGAGAACCTCTCAAGCAATAAAAGATGGAAACTGACTCAACTTTAGGCCTATACACATGTATATACATTCACATACATGCATACATGTATGCCTGCACACATGCAAGTGTACTTGCATATAGCGCTCTCTCTCTCTCTCTCTCTCTCTCTCTCTCTCTCTCACACACACACACACACACACACCACTGAGACCTACTTTCGGTCCTTTTTCATTTTTGGGGCTCCAAGGCCTATTTCAGTAACAATGGCAACCAAGTAGCCTATGATATTTCAGGGTGAACTGGGGGTCAGGGAGAGAACGAGAATGGGGGATTTATGAAGAATGAATGAATCCATAGAAAGGTGGATTGATCAATGAATGGGGAAGGGAAAAGGGTGGTTGAATGCATAGATAAATAGATAAAGCAAGAGATGAGTGTGTGGACAGATGGGTGAATGGATAGGGAAAGGAGGGAAGGGTGTGTGTGCGGATTTATAGATGGATGAAAGAAAGGATGGGTTGATGAGAGATGGCATAGAGGTAAAGGTTTGGAATGGCAAGCCAATGGTTAGATGGCTGACAGATAATGGTGGTGGATGGCTATGTGGGTACGGTATTTGGTGCTGTGGAGATGACAGGGAGATGAGTGGCCAAAGCCATCTAACTGGGTAGGAGGGGACATGCAGGAGGGTAGAGGCTTTGATGGCAGGCTTCTGGAAGGATAGAAGGGAGCACCTTTGTCAGGACCCAGCAAATCAATGTTCTAGGCTTTGTGAACCACACTGGTCTTTAAAGGCGATCTCACATTCTTCTCTGTCTCCCTTCACAAATATTCAAAAACACAAAACAATTCCCAGCCAAAAGGCTTCCAGAACCAGGTCTCCAAGGGGCAGGAACCAACCTGAATGATTTGATTGACACATTAGCTCTACTGACCATTTGGCAAGCATGAGGTTGAATCCTGAGTCTGAAAAACAGAAGACGGCTCCCCTCCCCACAGGACGGTGGCCTTGGGGGAGTAGAGAGATCTGAGGGAGAACCTGCCAACCCTAATGAGTGGGATGAACCCTGGGTTGGGTTGGGTGCTACATGCTGAAGTCTGTGGGCTACTTCAAGACTAGCATCTCTGACTTGGAGCCACGTGGTGGGGTCTCTGCCGCTTCTGTCCACGTAGCTCTGATGTGATAACTGCTCAGCAGCGCAGTTCCAGAAAGCAGCCTCTGAGCTGATTTCCTGGCTCTGCCCTGCCCAGGATGGCACTGTAGCTTGCCAGCAGCTTTAGCCTCTCTCCACCTGGCAGGAAGTGCTGCAAACTCACACTGGTGTCTCATAAAACAAGAGCGTCAAGCCCAAGTGATGATATCAGGCAGGGGCCAGCGAGGGAGCAGAATTCAGCGGTCCAGTCTTCTCTGCCACGCTGAGTCACCCTTTCAGAAGCAAAGGTGGGGAGAGCTGGGAACTTCAGGTTTAAAAACACACACAGAACTGGAACCCCAAACAGATGCTCATGCTAAACCAGAGGACTCCTCTGTCCTCCATCCAGAGAGCCAGCTGCCCCCTGCTCACATGGGGACACCGCAGCAGCATGACCTCTAACTAGTTCACCCTGAGGCCTGGCTTCGTGTAGGACCCTGGGAAGTGGTCCTCTGGTCTTCTGCTCTGAGGATGGATGGCTTAGGAAATCCACGTCTGCCTTGGCTCTATCACTACGTGACCTTGACCCAGTCATTTCCCCTGCGCCTACACGCCACTACCTGCCAAATGCCCAGCAGTCACTACTGGTGGCTTTGACATTCTATCAGCTGAATAAAATAAGCCAAGGAATCAAGTATCAAGGCTGAACTGCTACAGGGCTGGGAATCCTTAGACACTTAGGAGAGTTGCCATAGGCCTACACATCCAATCCCCCTGCATGCAACCCTCTCTGTGACTCAGTCTGAATCAAAACCACCTCCTCAGGAGATCCTGCCCAGATTCTCCAGATTCCCCATAATTGTGGTCATGCCCCTGCACCCTCAATGATTTCTTCCTGCATTTGTTGCCAGAGATCTCCTAGGGAAGAGGAGACCAGGGTGACTGAGAAAGCCCCTTGATTCCCTGAGCAACTGTCATTGTGCAGATACATCGTAGTTCATAAAAGGACCCCACATGTAAGGCACTGGCATGGAGCTTAGGCATGGCACAGCGGTGGAGCGCTCACCTGGCATGCTGCAAGCCCTAGGTTCTATCCCCAGCACCACATAAACACACAGACTGCTTTGAGGGTCCTCATCGATATCCAAACTCCCTCCCAGTGCCCCCTGCCAGAGCTCCCACCCCACCCAGGCACAGAGTCACCCTGCCTAGTACATCCATTAGTAGACTAGGCTTATCTGAGAAGCCTGGCTCAGAGCCTCAGCCACCAAACCTGTTAATGTAGCCACCCCTGTCTGCTCCCTGATTTCTGCTTCCTGGAGTCCAGCTCTGTAAAAGGGCAATTAGTCAGAGACGATCAGAATGATGAACTCACCAGGCTTAAGTGCTGCAGCATCTGCACATACCTGTGGAAGGAGAGAAGGACGGTGCTGCGTTAACTCCATCCTGGACAAGCCGGGAGGGGCAGGGCTTTGTGGGCCAGCCCCAGGCAGCTGCTGGAGCACTTACGCTTTCTCTGAAGACAGCAGCTCCTGAGCGATGACAAGGGCTCTGGACTGTCCCTCAACCTGTGGGGGATGGAAAAGAGTGAGAATCAGGGTAGGTAGTTGAGAGGACAGCCCTGAAAATAATCAGGCTGTAAGAGGTGGGTCTGTGTGTTTGTCACGAACAGTGTGACCTTCAGCAAATTCAGTTCCTCTCTGAACCTATACACAGTTCCTCCTTTATACACATGGGTATGAAGAGTGTCTACCCCAGAAGGCTGCCAAACAGATGCCCTGTGTGGTGCCTGACACAGCGCTCAATAAATGTCCCTGTCATGGTGACGTGACCTTGGCATCAGCTCAGCGTCTCACTGGCCCGGCAACCCGCTGTGTGTATACTAAGGGGTCTCCGGACACACGTTCCCATCTTCTTCCAGAGTCTTTCCCTACATCTTCTCTCCCCACCTTTTGACTCTTTCAGGGTGAAGCATCTACAAGCACCTGTGCAGTTTACTTTTCTTGTTGCTCTCACAAAAGGCCCTGACTAAAGCAACTTAACAAGGAACAGTGTCTTGTGGCTCACAGTTCAGGGAGTCAGCCCATCACAAGGTGGGGGAAACATGGCAGCTGGCCACACTGTTACAGGACCATGGAGCAGAGAGAGACAAGTGCTGGACTTCAGCCCACCGTCTCCTTCTCATTCAGTCCAGGACTCCAGCCCAGGGAATAAGGACTCTGGTAGCTAGGGTGGGTCTTCCCTAGCTTCAGTTAATTCAACCTAGAAACTCCCTCACAGACAAGGCCAGAAGTTTGTCTCTAGGTGACTCTAGGTCCTGCCAGGTCCACAGAATTAACCGCCATAGCTCCTAGCACAGAGAACGCCAGAAGTCATCCTCTCATCTTCGGCCACAGCATTGGTTTTTGCCTATGTGTCTTAGGAAAATCAACAGCGGGCATGGCTTCTGTCTGCAGGAAGACAGCAACACCCCAATCCCAAGTGACACCTAAAATATCTTCAGACACTGCCAAGCAGACGTCCCATGCTGATAAAATCAGATACAGTGTCTGGCATAGATTAGGTGCCAAATAAACACAGCCTTTCCCCCACTGCCGGTCCCTGATGACTTCCTGGAAGTTTAAGTCACGGCGGCCATTCTGTCGGGGCAGAGGCTGGCCCAGGTCAGTCTCCTTTCTGTGGCACACTGTAGTTTCCAGCTGGAGGGTGAAGACAGGAGAGAGAGCCGAGAGACCTGGGGAAGCCTCTGATGCTTGTTCACCGCTTCCCTCCTATGGAAACCAAACAGACTGATATTCCATCTGCATCTGCAGGGCCAATGTCAGACTCACAAGGCAGAGGCTAACAGAATCCAGCAGGTGGAAAACCCTCACAAGGGAGATGCATCTAGCTAGGGCAGGCCTCCACAGCCCATGGGACACACAGCAAAGCATCCACAGGCAGTGGTATTTTGTAGGCAGGAGACTTAAAGGTGTCTGTCTCTTATAAAATGAGGAAAGAGAGTCAAACTGGTTTCAGTCTCCCACAGGCCAGTAATTCATCTGTTATACAATGTTGAGAGTCACTGCTCTGGTGTTAGAAGACCTGGGTTCAAATCCTGGGCCCTGCTTCTTCCTGTCTTTGTGCTTGTGGGCATTATTTCTCCTGAGTCTCAACTGTCAACAGGAACAATAGTATCTCCCACGACATAAGAGCTTCTAGGTAGGGACACTCAGGAACTGCCAAGCACAGCCTTGACCTGTGTACACTCATTAGCTCCCTGAGTACAGCTACTTCAATCAACTCTTTTGGCAGATGTGGAAACTGAGGCACCCATGAATCCTACCCTTTGCATAGCTAAGATTCCATCCTAGGTCTAGCTCCAATGTCCAAGCCCTGGCAAACAGCCAGCATGGCTAAGCACACATGTTCCCCTGACATCCAGGTTGAGTCTAATAAGCCGGCCTTAAGTCCAGGAAACAGTTAACTCAGGACATATTTAAGCCAGATGTGGTAGCAGGTACCTGTCTGTAGTCCTAGTGGGAGGAGGAGGACCACTTGAGCCCAAGAGTTTAGGGCTGGCCTGGGAACCATAGTTAGACCCTGTCTCTAAACAAAACTAAACACAATAAATGCTCTTGTTGCCCAGTAAGCCCACTGTAAAATCAAAACACCCCAGGTCAGTCCACTGTACTGTAAGTGGGGGACCATCTGCACTCAGTGAACTCCGCATGCCTGCGCTCAGTCTAGGTGGTGAGTGTTCCTGTCTGGCACCTGGCTGGGTCTGGCATTGCAGGACTGGCAAGCCTGGTGTCCTTAGACTCAGCTCTGGCTGCCACAGAGCTGTGAACAGACTAGTGCCTGGTTCTGTTCTGTGGGCAGCCGCGTGGCCATGGGCCAGTGTTAACATGCCTTGGTTGCCGCACATGAAAAACAAGGTGTCTACCCCCCACTGCAGGGACACGGTGATAGATGGGAGAGGTTTCACTCTTCCCGGACTTTTGAAGTTGTTGTCATCACCATTGTTAGGATCTCAGCCTCGGGGACAGACTTCTGGGAGGGCTCTGGCACGGACGGCTCTGCACGTCCCTCCAGACAGACGGGCAGATTCGGGGTGGGACACATAGGCCACTCTGTTTCAGCACTCCAAGATGATGGATGCGCCTTCACTGGGGAGGCCTGCCAGGCTTGGTGCCCCAGGTTCTCCTCCGAAGCTGCTTCTGGGTTGGGACCAACTGGGCCATTTACCACACATGTTTATTTAACCAGGAAGTGAACTTAGAGTCTGAAGGCAGTGTCCAGGGACATGCTTCTGGGAACAGGGCTCCTCCCAGGAGCATCGGCTTAGGGCATGAAGGCCTGCACATGGTATTGCCCATAGCCAGATAGGGAGTGTTGACACCAGACAGCGGCCTGCTCCTACCCGGAGCTGTCCCAGGGCCAATCAGTCCTGTCCCTTCTTCCCAATCTCCAGACAAGTCAGTTACTATTAGGCTCAGCTCCTCAGGTCAGTCCCTCTGCTAGGGAATCTCATTAAATAGCAGGTCCTAGAAAGAGTTCAGAGTGCTGGCTCTGTCTCCGTGTCTTGTCAAATTAGGGAGCACTAAGAGCCGTTGGGTCCTTCTTTTCCTAACCAGCATCTGTGGGAGTCTGGGAGCTCCTCCTTGAAGCTAGTCAGGACTACGACAGCAGTGAGCAAGAGCCGGGGAGCCAGGTGAACCTAGCCACCTTTCCCTCAGTCAGATGTAACTGGCACTTCTTTCCACACTGGTTTCTGTTGGCTTGACTCACAGAATAGACAGAGTGGCCTTTTATGTCAGTAGATCATGAACTTTGCCATTTTTAAGTGAATTACAAGATGCTTTTTTTTTTCTTTTGAAATGGTCTGATGTAGCTAAGGCTTGCCTCAAACCCTTTATGTAGCTGAGGATGGCATTGCACTTCTGATCTCCCTACCTCCACCTCCCAGTGTTGGGATTACAGGTGTGTGACAGGACATCTAGGTTAAGTGGTACTAGGAATCAGATCTAGGGCTTCAAGCATGCTAGGCCAATGCTCAACCACCTGGGCCCTAACATCTGCCCTTGCTTTAAAATATCCTCAGGTTTGCATTCTGATGTAAAAAAGGATGAGAAATGGCTTGTGACAAGATTCCTTGGGGCCTCTACTATGAAGAGGAAGGCTGTTCCACAGCAATGGCATAAGACACAAATGGACACGTCCTCCTAGGGAGCACAGAGCTTCAGGCTGTGAGCCTGACTGGCAGTACGTTGTGACATTGTGACACAGGCCAGGGAGTCCAGCTGGGGCCAGTCTCTTAGGATGGCCCTAAGAAACAACACAAGCTTCCCCTCAACCTTCCAAGGACCCCAAAATGTTAGGGTGGAGTAACAAAGAGGGGACCTGCCCTGAACTTCCTCATGACAACCTGTTCAGGCACACGACCACACCCAGAGCAGGAAGGGCACATATCTGTGGACATTTCACAGGTCTTCAGCAAGTAGAGGGCCTGCCGTTGAGCTTCGGAAATGTTCCGAGGTCATGCCTGACAAGGGGCAGTGCTCAGGCAGTCAGACGACTCCAGGAGTTCTTGTCCCCACGTTCCCTAGCACTCCTGCTTTGGGACAGCACGGCGCTCCCTGAGACTTGGGTCCAGCAGACACACTAGGGGTCACCTGCTGTTTCTGTGTCACATGGAGAGGGATGGGGGATGTCAAAGAGGAACAAGTGCCTGCAGGATCATGAAGGAGAAGGGACACCAGAGACATAGCTTCCTGTGACCCAGTGGAGAGGGACAAGTGGCCTGAAAATTCTGGGAGGGAACTCGGTGTCTGGCTGCAGTTTTTGACAGACCTGCAGCGGCAAAGTGCTGTCTTGGAACTCTGTGCTTATGGTAGTGAAGACCTCTCTTTACTCCTGATGTCACCTCTGAGCTGTTCAGGCCCTGAAGTGAGTGCTGCTTAGGCTTCAGTTCCTTCTCGGGACACACAAGACTCTCCGGTGTCAGTGGCGCCTACACCCACCCAGCAGCGGCTGCCCACCTCTCTCCACCCAGCCCTTGGGAAAGCACCTTCTACTTGCCACTTGTGCAAGATAGACAAGATGCCATGAATAGTGGAATCCTGCAGAATGGGCCTTCTGTGCCTGACTTCTTCACTTAGTCAAGTGTCCTCTAACATCATCCATTCCTAGAAATGGCAGGATCTCCTTCTTAAAGGATGAATACTACTCTACTGTTAATCTATGTGTACGTGTGTGTGTGTGTGTGTGTGTGTGTGTGTGTGTGTGTGTAGGCCAGGGAACAGCTTGTGGGAGACAATTTTCTCTTACCACCATGTGGGTCCCAGGTATCAAACTCAGGCTGTCATGCTCGGCAGCAGGTGCCCTGACTTGCTGAGCAATCTTGCTGGGCCCATATTCTTTTGTATACATGTGTGGGTGTACCATATTTTCTGTACCCCTCCACCACAGACAGACACTCAGAGAGTAGGCTTCATGTTAAGTGTTCTTAGCGTGATTATGAAACAAGAGCTTCTAAATGCCCCTTCCAGTATGCCACCTTCTGGAATCCAGGACGGCAGCAGCTGTG